AGAACTAATCAATAGAAGGGGTGTGGTTTTTCATCATGATAATGCTGACCTCACATATCTTTTGCCACTCAGCCTAATTAAGAGGGCTTGGCTGGGAGTTGTTGCATCCGCCGTATAGTCCTGACCTTGAACCCTCAGATTTTCACCTGTTTCGGTTTTTCAGAATTCTTTAGGCAGTGTCAGGTTAACATCACAAAAAAGCTAAAACCACTTGTCGCGGTTTTTTTATCAAAAACTCCAAAATTTCTATAGCAATGGAATCATATCCCTACCAACAAGATGGCGAAAAGTTATCGAACAAATTGGTACAAACATATTTTAGATAAACGTAAATGTTTTGAATTTTTATATAAAATGCAAAGAAACTTTTTCCCAACCTACAAGTATTAATTATACTGGTTTAAGTGCTCATTGCAACGCACTAAGCTGTCATAGTGTAGGATCAGTTTGGTTTTAATTTAAATTAAATATAGGCTGGATTATTTGCAAATACAATTTTCCAAAAAATAAATCACTGTCTAAAAAAGTAATGTTAAGTTTAAAAAAACATTAAGCAAACAAAATTAGGATAGATAAAATATCGCACGTAGAGAATGATAATGTCACTAACCAAAAATGACGTATTTTCTACTTTTGACAACATTTTTCTTTGTTAAGTATAAACTTTAAAATGCAAAGATCCCTGTGAACGTAGCTTGCATAGAAACTGCTAGGTGGCGTTGTTTAGAGGGGCTGATTACAATTTCTTGAACTTTAAACGCTCATTACTCAAAATCGCATTTTTTGCATTGTGTCACTATCGTTCTCAACGTGCGATATAGTCAAAAGTCAACTTTGTTATTACTCAACACTCAACATTGTAAAAATAACTAAATTGCTGTAGTAAGACCAAGATATGCGTATATTATTATTTCCGATTTAATTAGTCTTACGGATTTAAGAATAAAATATGTTATTAAATACAATACAAATACATATTATTGTTACAAACAAAGATTATTGTTAAGCTTAATTATTCCGTATAACTAATGATTAATTTAACAACACATATAATAAAATGTTCCACTTTTGTTTCTTGGAAAACTGACCCGGAACAGATAATACCCACACAAAACACAAAAAAGACATAGCCACACAAAAAAGACATAGGTATATTCAATAAATAACAATTACAACAACCCACAATTTTTCTTCAATAAGGCTGAAGTAATACAAAAGAACATTTCTTTCGAAATAATTAGTTTTAAAGTAACATTAGTTTACTTAGATTTTCGTACCAGGCTATAAGTGCAGTTGCTTATTTATTTGTTTTTTAACTTTCATTTATTTAGGCTTTATTACATAAATAAAAATGTACAAATGATGGACTTAATGCCATGAGGCAAACTCTACCAGTAAACACAGGTTTACTTAGTGAAGTTCGATCAAAATTATGTGAGCATCTTCTTTTAATTTAATTAGGATTCTATTTAGGTTATATTGCCTAATATCCAAAATATATTATTGGTAGCAATCCTGTGAATTATTGTCACCCTAATTTATATAAAAATAGAATTAACTTAAGCTTCTGTAGGACTAAAGTGTCTTTTTCTCATCCGTGAGCATTGCGGTTACATTAATAACCACTAGTTGAATGGATCTAGTGCAGCAAGGCTTGAGACAACATTCCAACTTAATCAATTGGCTGGCGCGAAACTAATTAATACGTCTAAAATAATATCGTTATTGTTATTCTTATCTTTCGATTTGGGATAATAAGAATAAAATAAGTCCCTTGGGATAAGTTTCACATCTGTTCATAACATATCTAATAGATAAAATCAATTCACAGATTCAGAAACTTAGATAAATTGACCCTTATACTTTTTCGTGTCTCAGGCGAAGAATTATGACGAACGTGTGTTGCCAGCGTTAATAAAGGGCACTGCGACGTGGCTGCAACATAAATGTTCAAGAAGAGCAAAGCACTATCTATTCTCCAGATGGAAATTGTAATAATTGTTGATAAAGCCTCATCAACAACTACCAGGCGAATATTTCGAGTACTGCCTGATTTGAAATGAAATGAAATGAAAATATCTTTATTCAAGTAGGCTATTACAAGCACTTTTGAATCGTCCAAAAAACTTTTTTCCCCTACCACTTGTTCAGGACGTCTTTTAAGCTGATTTAGCTGAACTAATTCTGATCGGTTAGCTGGAATGATTCCTCGTTGAACAGATAGCTGTCTGGGAATACATTTGTTTATTGTATTTTATCTTGACTTTATCTTGTTTTAATTTCTTAGTCTAGGAATTTCTTTTTTAATGACTCAAATGACTCCGTGTAAATAAAACAGCGAAAAACAGCCGTTGCTGAGTTTCTTGCCGCTTCTTCTCAGTACAAGTTCTTCCGTTGTTGATTTACGAAATATTGGCATAGAACGAGAAGAATGTAGACTAAATATTTGGTTTTAGATATTAAAAAGTCCTCGTGTGACGGTCACGAACCGGAATAGTCGTGGGAAGACTCCCAACAAGGTAGACCGACGATTTGGTCAAGATCAGTGGAAAGCCTTGGACGAGGACAACGCGGGACATATCAAAGTATTTGGGGGAGGTCTTTATCCAACACTGGACGTATTCCGGCTGATTTTTATTATTAGAAAAAATATTCCAAAACGTTATGTTTCGTAGATGCATTCAGAGTCACGTTATAGACAACTTTGGTGACCTATTTTGGATATAATTCATATATCTTTTATCCGAATACTTACTCAAATGCTTCTACAAAAACATGAGGCTACAAAATTTCGCACTAAAACTACGAAGGAATTGTTACCGTAGAAGTTGTAAAAATCTGCCGAAGAAGTGAACTTTATATAACTCTTTTGGAAGCGTGTCATTAAGAACTAAAGTTATGAATATTAAGTCTATGATTTATATTCTATATATCATATTATAATTATCACAATTTGTATGCTAAAAGTTACAGACCAATTCATAACACGCGGCGCTTAAGCCGTTTTTTAAGAGAAAATCTTTTCCAGACATTAGATAGGTAATTGTTTAGAGAGGTGTTTTACAACTTGTGGTCCGAAAGTATATCAAGGGAGGGCTGCAAATTACTTTGCAATGTGAATATGCCAGCGAAATTAAAACGCAATAGTAACATCAACTCAAATATGATTTAGTTACAAAACAGCGACACTGTTTGCATTAATGTATTTCTTAATATATTTTTGTAATAGAAAAAAAATATCTGATTTAATTCTTTTATAAATCCCTTTATAAATAATGCTGGATTTCGTAGGAGTCCGTGGACCAGAAAAAAAGTATAAAGCGCAGGCTTTGAGCGAGGACAATTTATTTATCGACTCTTTATTGCAAAAATACAGCAAATGGCAAACTTAATGCCAGAGGCATTGCCTACCAGCCAACCGGTGAGGATTTACAGAACATTTGTATGGCACTGACATTGGTGGACAAATAAAGTAATAATTTAAGTAAGTACATAATAAATAAATACGTTATATATTAGACAAAGGGGTATTGTAAAAATCTGGAACAACGAAGGCACCTTAAGACAATATAAGTAGAAAAGTATAAAAATTGAACCTAGTACCTCCGAAATGGAGACACTTAGGAAACAGCGTGTAATCTACTCGGTCAAACAGATCGTCCACACCAACACAATTTAACTTATGCAGTTAATTCAAAAACAGTGAAAAAGGAGTGAAAATATTTTATATTAACGCCTGGCTATCGTATCAGTCTTGTAGTGTAATAAATAACTCTTACATCTCTGTATCGTGGCGCTTTATTAAAAGACTTTGTGGAATAGTGTTATAATAATATAGGTATATAAAATACTATTCATTCATAACTATGTAATATCATTTGTACCATATTGTTGCAAATAAACAATCATTATTATTATTAAAATCAGCTATTTTCGAGCGACCGCTATATTTAGCGAAATACGAGATTTTCTCGTGTGTGTTAAGTGTATTTAAATTTTATGAATAATTACTATAACAATTTTACATAAAAATTTGAAGATACGTAAAATGAAATAAAAATACTTGTTAATCAATGTAAAAATTAACATTTACACTTTTACGATTTTATAATTTAAATACCGTAAACTGCTGCAACTTTGCACGAAATTTTGGCTTTTTTATGAATATCTCTGGAAGTGTTTGTAATTTGTGCCCGTTTTTACATTAACGAGCAAATTCAGGATATAAACCACAAATCTTAAGGTTCAAATTGCGATAACTGTTATTGGATTGACGTTAAGACCTGTCGAAAGTTGTAGGCAAAGTTGCGATTAAATTTTCCAACTTTGCCTAGATGTTTTTTGGGAAAATTACACGCTGTATACAGTGTATCTAGTCTTAAACCCAAGTCATAAAAACTGTGTTTTCATAGATATGTGCATAGCTAGACACAAATAACCATTCCTTTTTTTTTCTGTCAAATAGGCAAAGTTGGGCACAAGTAATCAATATTTTCATATAAACTTTGAAGCACATTAAGGGTTGCGCCAAATAGAAATATAAGAAGTAAATAAAAAAAACTTCATAAGAATCAAAGTTTAATACCATAATATTTAATAACAATCTTACGTTCGGAGGGTGGGGCGGAGGGGATCAAAAACCTTAATATAAATATCACAAAAAACAGTCTCAATAATCTTGTATTATGTACTTACAAGAACACATTAAACCCTCTCAAACTTAAATTTTATCTTTAATGTTGTCTGTAAGCAACAAAGTGTTAAAATCAAATACAAAAAATTTTTTTTTTTTATACCTTATAATGTAACAAAATGTTATATTCATAATTCGTAAATATATAACCAATGAAACTAACGAGATCACAAACTCAAAGTTTAAAAATAATAACATATTACGGTTGAACCATAATCTTTTTTTACTTATTTCAACCACAACAACATATAAAACTATTATAATATCTAACTTACAAGATGTAACCAAAAATAATAACTGAACAAATTTAGAAATAAAGAGCATCTGCTTGGTTTTGTAATTTATACTCTTCTGGCTTATCAGATATTTTATCAATTGTGATTATCTTTTCTATAGATATTTTTGGTACAGTATCCCTGTCAATTTTCTTAGGCCTTTTAAATTTAAGCTGACCTTTACTACGTGTTGTAACATAAAATGAAATGTCAAAAGTATCATCATTATTACAAGTCGAAATAACCCCTATGTAATATTTCCATTTATTTTTAGTATAATAACGAACCAAAACTGTATCGTTCACAGAGTAATTCAAAGACGTCTGTTCATTTTCACTTGAGGGACTTGGTATTTTATCTGACAGCATAGTATCACCGTTAAAAATTAAATATTCGGTTGGTGAACAACGCGCTTGTGCATAAGATGTGCCAGGTATGATAGATTTACAAATAGGTGGAAATGAAGAAATTTTCGAATTAGTAGAGCTCATCGATTCGCGACGAGAAACAGTGGACGAGACTATATCATGATTGCAATTGGAATCACATAACATGTCGACGGATATCTGATCGTCTTTATAATTCAAAGCAGGTTCATTATCATTATTTGATGAACATAGTAGTCTTGACCGTTTCAAACAGTATAATGGAATATCGTCAGAATCTGTATCATCGTTTTCTGGAATATCAATTATACTAGAGTCACTATGTTTACTCATGTCATCAGAGACACTTGTAGTTGAACCAGAATAAACCAATGTATTCTTTGTTTTATATTTTTGTAACCCTGTCTTTTGCAGAGGTAAATTAGACATTTTCTTGAAAGATTGCCCTGGCCTAATTATTTCTTCAGACAAAACTTTTATTCCCAAATCTCTTACAGGTTTAATCCGACTTCCAATACTACATTTCATTGTTTTTGAAGTTTGCAAGCAGGTAGGCATATTCTCAGTACTAATGAAAGGTAAATTTTCTTCTGTATTAGTTGCTTGACTTAGAGAACGAACGTTCGAGCTTGTTGTGTTTAAATCTGAATTTTTATTTGTAGATCTCCCTGTGCTTTTCTTAAGTTGGTCTGCCTCTTCCGTTGAAATTGATTTGCCGGCTATTACTGATAACTTTTTATTTGCACTTTTTTTGAACTGGGTGGTTGAGCTTCTCATATTTTTTAAATATTCCAATAGGCAAACATCAAAATGTTTGGATGTTTCTGACGAAACCACTGGAATCTTTTTTAAGACCCTCGATGGGTTAAATGGAAATATTCCTGCAGCTGCGAAACCGCTACGTAAGTTTTCACTTTGGCCCATTTTGATTTTTGTCATTAGTTCATGTAGTAGCTGCGGAAAATCACATTTATTTATTGTCGAGTTTTGTAGTTTGGAGAGTTTATACCGTAGCAATATATCTCGCCAGCATCGTTTCATAGGCCCGAAAAAGGCGACATCAAGGGGCTGGGTAAGATGGGTTGCGTTTGACGGTAAAAATATTAATTTAATATTATTTTCTTGGCACAATTTCACAACTTCAACACTTAAGTGTGAAGATAAATTGTCACCGATGATTACTTTTGGCCCTTCGCGTGATTTTGCCCAAGGTAAAACGATTGTCTCAAACCAATTGTCAAAACACACCATATCAAACCACCCTGATTTGGTGCGATTATACCTCGCGTTTGGTGGACCGAACTCGCACCATCGGGACCATAAGTTGTCGGCCTTATAAACGACGTAAGGTGGCAAAATTTCTCCATCTGCTGTACCGCTGAACATTATTGAAACCGAGCTTTTAGTTGCATTGAGAACGCGTTCAGGATGTTTAGTCCCCCGCTTAAATATCGCCTTATTTGACCCTGGGTCATCGCTTAAGTTGGTTTCATCAAAATTCAGAATACTTGCAGGAGGAACATCTTTAAGTGATAATTCCATATTTTCGAAAAAAGCTGTCATTTCCTCGACAGTTTTTGACGCCCGGCTGCGTTTAATATTTTGGGTGGCCCGCTGTGTAAAATCGTGACGTGTTAAAAAATTGCGAGCCCATCGGTCACCAGGCATTCGGCCTTTAAACATATCCGTCTTTCCACATTTCGAAAGGTAATTATATACTACTATCCTCAAATCTACTAATGTAAGTGGACTCCCGAAATCTGCAGCAACTTCAACAACTTCTGCAATATGTTGCTCTTCTTCTGCCGACAGTTCCTGTGGGCGACCTACCGCTTTATTGTGTATACTTTTGCATTTATTTAAAATTGTTCGTCTCGGAATTCCGAATTGTTTTTCAGCTTCATACGATGATAGTGCTTTGCTTTTTACCAAATCTACAGCAACGGCTAATGTCTCTTCAGAGTAATCTGCATATCGCCGAGCTCCAGTTTTTCTTCTATTTCTATTTCCCATCTTTTCCTCTATTGGTCTGAAAACCTGAAAACGTGCACTAGTAAGAATTGTTTACTGTTTTTTTTAATATTAATATATTACGTGTTTCGGAAAGCACGTATTATGGTCATGATCGCCATCCAGAGATCGTTAACTGAACTACCTACGTCAGAGGCCTTCGGGCACTTCAGAAACTTTGACACGAGGGTGGTAGAGCCGATTGACCTTGCACACCTCATGATAACATGTACAGTAATATTAAAAACTGAATAAAGAACTGTACTAAACATTTAGGCTTTTGGAATTTTATTTTAAATATGTGATAATTAAAACGCATCATTAATAGTTATCACAGCGCATGCCTACTACTGCATTTTTGTAACAATCTAAAATTTAAAAAATATAGTCTACCGTACATTTTTATAAGTGTTCTTTTTTTTAGTTTTAAAAGTAATCGTTATATTTTTTTATTAATTGTCTAAAATCTAAATAAAACTTCTAAACTATATACCCACACTTTGAACAAATCCTTAACTTAAGTAATAGTTTGAGATAACTCTGCTTATGCAGCTAGTTAAAATCGCAAGTTCATAACTTACTATATGCTTTAATGCTGTAGTTTATTAGTGACAACCCTAGCTGTAGGCAATCTTGTAGCACTATTAGCCAAAAACCATTTGCAAATATTGCCTACCTTAATTTCAGATGAAATTGATCACAATAACAACAAAAACCAATAAAAACCGTTAAAAGAGCATATTTACTTACCTCGTAAACAAAAGTACAATTCTATTTTTCGATTTTTCCTAGGAAGAAACAAAAGTTTCGCGACCAATTAAAAAACGTTCCCTCCACTTTTAACAATTGACAGCAAACTGACGTAAAACCGTCAGAGTTGCCACTTTGAAATGTAATAAAACGGGTTGCCAATACAATGATAATATTTCTCCCATTCACAAAAAAATAATATATGTTGCTTTTTCCAAATTATGTTGATTTTAGTTAATTAGGCAAACTTGAAGCTCACTGGCAAAGTTGAAGGTTACGTACATTCTTGTTGCTAAGTCAAGACTTGTTAACTTGTACCTACGTACTTAGTAATAATTAACATATATAAAAATAAACTAAAAGCAACAGAAAGTTTATAAAATAAATTTTCTATACTTTATCTAGACAGATACAACATGATTCTTCGAATCTAAACTATACTATACGGCAAAATAAATCGCAATATCAAATTAATGAACTTCCAACTTAAGTACTTAATGTAAACAATTTCATCGACTCCGCTACACCTGTAACACGTACACATACCTGTCGCGGAAGCAGTAAAGGGAGAGTCAACCCGTTCTTCCGGGCGTTTTCCACTTTTCACATCCAATCTTGTTTCGAAATTCAAAAAATCCCTTCGTAACAAATGCACTTGAAATGTCTTTCAAAACAAGTTAGAACAGCAGGTATTTTATGTTTCAATATAGAATTTTTTCTTCACATTCACATTTAAAAAAGAAAAAACTAAAACGCCTCGCTTTTTTTCAGCACAACATAGTTTTTAATATTTTTTTTTCTAAAATTCAGAACACGATGTTTTCAAATTTGGAGTGTCGTCACTGTCTTGCGTTCCGGCGGCGAATACACGCGAGAAACGTTACGTGCATAGAGCAAAGCGGTCGGTTATCAACTGGAGAGCCGCACGTAGCGAGAGGTTGGGTGAGGTGTGTTGTGAAGGTTTTCGAGAGGCGATCCCCGGATGGACCGGCGGGCATCTAAGATGCAGGACGGATGAAATGCATTGCATTGCTCAAGATCCAGAAATGAAAGGCGCGCTTAACCTAAACTTATACTGAAAAAATATGCACCAAAGATTACGAATGCAATCATGCATTTCGATATGCATTTAGCAATTTAAAGTGCACATTTTATATTGCTTGTTTGTAGCATTGAGAGTCTCACTATAAAATAATAGATTAATGTTACTTGGGTTCATTTAAAAATATTCAGTCGCAAATGAAAATAGGAATGTTCAATTCAAACGCTGGAATGAAGTTAATAAAACTTACTTAAGAGAGTGGATTAGAATTAGGTATTACTATATAATCTAGAATTCAATATACGGTATTTTTTTTAATGTATCATCGTTGATGGATGAGTTAATAAAAATTAAATGTAATTATTTTTTTTCTATACGAAAAATCACCCGGAAATATGAAAAAAATACTTAATTGTTTTGTTTTTCAAATATCAATGCATTTAAGATAAACAAGTAATTTTGAAGTTCTTTATGAACGCGAATATTAACTCTAATCTCCGAAATTACAAGGACAAAAAAATTAAAAAAAATGTAGGAATACTTTATTACCTAAATATAAAAATATTATCGAAATATTATGGTTCATTCGATATTCAATGAATAGAAACTTTCGATGCACAACTCCTACTTGCTCTTGGAAAATGTTTTGAAATTAGAAATAAATAATTAATTATAAATAAATCAATTAAAAATTATTTATTCAGTCTAGGCTCTAAGAAGCACTTGTGAAATCTAAATCTACGGCGGGAGTGATGTATCAAGAAGAACCGGCAAGAAACGCGGCAAGGGTTGCTTTTTCTCCCTGTGTTATTTCATGCAAACGTTAAGATTGGAAAATTTCACTTTCCATTCAATATTAGAAAATATAAAAAGTAAACGGTATTTTCGTCAATCGAATCAAATGTCTAGTCAAAGAAGGTCACCGCTAAATAATAAATATAAAAATAAGCCATATTTAACACCAAGCAGTTTTGTCGTTTAAATATTCATTAACAGTATAATATCCTTTAGTGAGTAGACAATTCTTAATATTATGGGTCTTAAATTTGGGCAATAGTAAATTTAAAATTTCCATAGGAATTTTGTTATATTAATGGATACCTTGACCCATCAATTTTGCTAGAACCTTCTTTAGCCTGCATGACGACAAAAACAAGTTTATCATTGTTTCTAGTATTAAAATTGTGTACTTAACTATATTTAATATAATTCTTTATATTGTTTCTAACACAAAGTACCTATGCAATTGTCAAGTTTAACTTCTGTTAGTTTTTTAGCATTCGCAAGCAGAACTCAGCCCCCCCCCATAACAGGGAAATGGTTTGAATTTTTTTTCACATATTTATTTAAAAAAAGAAGAAAATTTGGTATCGCTATGGCGGCGGCTGTTTCAAAAGACTCGTTTTTCAGCTACAGCTGTTGAAAAATATAAAAATTATTGAAATAAAAATAACAACTAAGGACGCATACGGAAGTCATCGATGAGTAGGTACTGCAAGATTAGACCATCATCGGCGCGGCGCCCCCCAACGCGCATTGCACCCCCTGTACCATGGGAAAGACGGGCCTCAGTCCGGGTGTTGCGGTTGCTTAAGATTTCCATAATACTGTACTAGGATCTGAGCAACGTGTGTGATACTAATAAGGTATTATCGCCTATTTTGAAAACCACAACTAAAATATGTGATAATTACATTGTTCTGCCCTGACTGATCAATCGATGCTGGTTGACTGTAATTAAGACGCATTCTAGGGTTATTTGTGTGAATAGTGAACAACACAGACTAAGAAGAAAATACTTCGTATGTTAACAATAAAATGAAACAAATTCTTTCAGATCAATGTACTTTAATATACTACAAAATTACATTTAATAGATACAAATCTATACATAACTTTTTTTTTTTTTATTTCTGTTACATTATCTTAAATCTTTTTAATGCTTGTGGTCTCTTGTTTTATAAAATCTTTTGTTGTATAATACAAGATATAAATGAACCTACGGCACCAAGGATGATGTTCCAAAAGCTTATGATAGAAGGTGTTACTAAATTTTTATTTATTACTAGCTGTTTTTCCGTGACTTAGCTCGCGTAAATTATAACCAATGTCTTTTGCGTATGATTTAGCTTCCCGTAGGTGGAATAATTTTTAAAAAAAGTCCAGTCGATTCGGAGCCTTTTTAATGCAAAAAACAAACAGTCAAATATTTTATATTTTTATTATTAGTTTAGATAAGCACCGACAAACAGTGGTGTAACTCTACTGTTTGAGGCCCGTGGCAAATTAATCGGATATTGTATTTTTTTACTTAATGTGTAATAATAAATATCAGGAATAAAGGTTTCTCCTCTGACTGGGGTCCCCCTCTAGCTGGGGACCCGTGGCATTTTGCCGACTTGCCACCCTGAAGTTACGCCATTGCCGAAAATGAAAACTCCATGAAGAATATAACACAAATATTATGAAAGCGTCGAAAGAAAACGATACACATCGCTATTCATATCCATACATCTCGGTATCGTTACCGCGTAGTACTATTTTTTTCACTATGACACTAGGACGTTATATCGCTGACCCCACTGCGTACAATAATATGTATGACAATAATATATGTCGATATCTTTATTTATTTATTTAATCTTAATTGCCTAGTGAAATAGACAAATGGCGGAATTAATGCCAAAGAGGCATTCTCTACCAGTCAACCAGTAAAATTAGTACAACACTTAAAGTGGCGATTGGCAACAATACGCTATTGATATCTCTGCATAAGAACTATATCTAAATATACATAAAATACATACAATAATAAACATACATACACATACATAAATAAATGCATGTATATAGCTATAACACAAAGTACGAAATAGGTGTCAGATCAAGATATCTTGTTTGAAGCATAATAGAAGTTGCGAGCTGCTGTCTTGAATGCAAATTTGTTAGGAGCACTCCGGACGTTCAAAGGCAGTGCATTCCAAAGACGGATGGCGGTTAGAGTGAAGGAATGAGATACAAAACAAGAATGATGAGAAGGGGTTTGGAGTACCAGTCTACTACTAGAACGAAGATTTTTCAGGTGCGAGGCACCGAGGATTTCAAATCGTGTCTATTAAATAAAAATATATTTTCGCTGCCCTAGATGACTACTATAGATGCCATGGCAAGTAGGGGTTTTTAAATTAGCGATTAGTGTGTTAATTTAACACGCTAATCATACATAGCGCTTAACGCTGTTAAGTATGTACACGTTATGACGTTAAAAATTTTGCGTGTAAACGCGCAACGACCATCAGCGCTCGAGGTCGAGCGGCATGTTAAATATGATCGTGTATTAATACATAGTGAAGTTAGTTGATATTTTTAATTGTTTAGATTAAAGTGCGATTATGTGAGTAAAATAAAAAATTGTTAAATATTCTTAATGAATGGAAAATTTATTAAATATAATAATTTGTTAAGTAAAATAACATTAATAGTATTAATTGTAAAAAATATAAATTTAAACTTATTTGTAACATGAGTTATGATAAGTACGCGTTTACAATAAAGATGATAATGTTAATATATATAAGGACAAATTCTAGTGAAGGAATGTAAAATTGTATTACGTAAAGATAACAAATGTGCATAAATCATTTACTTTTATTTCACATATATTAACGCATTGATTAGCACGCTTATTTTTCTTGGCATTAGTCTTCAGCGTGTTAAATGTAGTTTAGTCGTTTTATACAACTCTGTCAACAAAGACAACGACAGTCGCCGGCAACGCTTCTTCAGCTATATTTAGCGTCCAAAAGATGCACAACCTAGCCGCCAAAGCGCATGCCAGAAAGGTAGATTCGTAAATAGCAGATTCGTACGACACACTGACTCCACCACCAAGACATCATCACGGAGGAGGGGGTTGTAAATGCAATATAAAGTTTCTGCCTTGGTTGGAAAAAGTTGTCGTACCAGCCTAATGGCGCCCAGGCCTTCGATTTAATGCAGCACTGATTGTAATGCAATTTTATTATACATATTTCAATTGAGGATGCTGCCTGTATCGCATTATTGTGTTTCTTAATTCAAAACATATTGTTTACTTTACATGCTCTTTGCTTGTTACAATTATGTAACCAGCGCAGAAGTCAACTTAATATTTTCTTATACCTTTTTTTATACATCACTGATAAAGTTCCATCATAATCAATCAGTTTTTATATCTCCAATTAACTTCATTTGATTACGGCAAAATTACTCTTAAATTACAGTAATGATATAATTTTATGAAAATATCTTTTTAGTGCTAGACTGCTTTATTCCTTACAAATAATGAAAAAACTTTTTTTAATGGTATCTTATCAACATTACAGAATTTTTATATTAATGTGACAACATTTTCTTATCACAAGTATTTGAGTAATGTCTATTTTATTTTCCTGCAAAAACTAACTTAATCATCTTAATCAATCCATAGAGTAATGTTACTTTTGTGTGTCCACTACTTTTCAAGAGAGTGATGTGCCACTTGAGTTTCACAACATAATTTATTCTAAGTATATAAATTTTGATGTTAGTGAAACCTAATAAAGACATACACCCAATTACACAAACACACACACACAGAAGTTTGTAGGAAAATTTACATTACAAGTTTTCAAATTTAAAAGATTCATTGAACTGTTTCTGCATGTGATCATAAGACACTTGTGAGTATACCATCTACTATAACTCATTCTTTAAATGAAACAACAATTTTTTTGTTAACAATAATAAGGATCATGTCATTTCCACGTCAAAACAAACAAGACTTATGTAGTCCTCAAAGCAGTAATATTATGTAAACAGATCATTTACGGTGGTAAACACCGTGTTTTCTCAAGTCCTATAACTGTGGTTTCACATCTTTATTAAGAATAAGAGTGGGATTCTGCATATCTAATTGGCACTGTGCGATGTCACTGAGAGCACCTTGTATTTTCTCAAGCAATATCTCACCTTGACGGACAACCTATAAAGAGAATAAAAAAATAAATGTATGTAATATGATTTGCTAACAGTAAGATAGACTTCCAATGACTGAAAAACAGTTTTGTGGCCTAGATAAGGCCAGGGAATTATACTTTCTTGAAGCTACTAATGTAGACAGCAATAGTAGCTTTAAAAATTATGTTTTGTTTTAAGAATTCAATTCCCTACATACCTCTTCCAATTGTTCAGCAGCTTCTTTATTCTCAGCCTCTAGACGCCTCAAACTCTGCACTTGCAGCTCAGCTGAACTCTCCTCACTAGGCAGTGACTCAATCAAAGTGTCTATATCTTTAGCACACCTGGATATCAAAGTTGCAAACAACATAGCATAGTCTTCTTGGTTTTGTTGCTGTTGAGGAGTTTGTGAACCACTACGATCAAAACCAGGAAATTTGCTGGGTGTTGAAAACTGCTGTAATATGCCAATACTGTTGCAGAAATGTTCAGCTTGCTGTAATGATAACATATAATTTATTTTAATGAAAATGAAATATTGATGTAATTTCATTAAAATAATAATATTACTTGGTTAATGGTATCCTGCAATTGTGTAAGACGGTCTGCCATTTTTAATAATTTTTAACTTTGCAATGATATAAGTGAACTTTATTTCTTTTTTAACAATTTAAAAAACCGCAACCCAACAGAGAAGCAAAAACCATAGAGAAATATAATATTACCAAAAGGAAAAGAGAGCCCTCTCGCCGATATTTTTGAAACCCTAGTTTGAATAGTGGCGCCATCTCTTAACCTGTACGCAAACTAAATCATCCAGCGTACTATATATAGGTACCTATATATTTATATAGTTTCTGTATATACAGTTCGACAAGGATCAAAGGTTCCATGGGTAAAATTTGGCCGTGCTGAAAAAAGAACAAGTTGGGCCTACTGAATACTTCGATTTACTAGGTTGTAGACTACCAGAGCCATAGTAAATCGATACTTGCATTCAGTGAGCCTAAATTGCTCTTTTTAGAGCGGCCAAATTTTACTCATGGAACCTCAGATCCTTGTCGAACTGTAATTCTCTTTTGGAGAATTCTATTTTGGAAGGTTGTTAATTCGTTTTAAGTGGTTTTATTAGACGTGTTAATAATGTCGCACATAATGTTAAAGAATCAAGTATACGCCTAACAAAATTCCACTCAAAACTTTGAAATAAAACTCTTTTTTAACTAAATTTACAATTTATTTATGCTTGTGTTTATTAAAATACAGTTGTGCATATTTTTTTATTTCGTCATCCCCTTCATCTTCATATGTCATCTTGCCAGATAAAATTCGGTTTATTTGTCTGCACCAACTGTTTATAAAGACATTTATAGTTGTTTTTACAAAATAATCAAATAACTGATCGCTGTGTCTTTTACATGTACATGGGAATGAGTACAACGTCTTTACAATAATTATTAATTTGGCTCGTATATTTGCCTTGGGTACATTTCTTTTTAATAATGTAACTGTGGCACGTTGTACTTCATAAAAAAAAAATACAATTTCCTTAGATGGATAAGTTTGCCACCTTTTGTTTTTATTATATTCTCTTAATCTAATGTACTCATTAAAAACATTACTATTGTCACATAATAATTCAGATTTACATGTGACACAGCCTTTTACAACATTTGTTAAACATTTTTTTACAACCCAGCCACATACATAATTGCGTTGGCCCAAATCTATTTCAATTTCCTCATTTAAGAGTAATTCTAGATTAATATTAAAATTTTCTTCGGAAATATCATTCTTCTCTTTGTATTGCTCTTTTTCTGCCAGAAAGAAATCAAGTGTTTGAAGGCATTTATTTTCGTCCTTTTCACAATTTGAGCCGACTGAATGAGGTGAATTAAAATTATTTAATAGTAAAGCCTTAAACGCTCCTTCAAACGCGACAGCATTAGGCGAATTATTTCTCGCACCATAACTGCGAATATTTCCGAAGAAATTTTCAACAGGGTCTTGGTTGAAGTGCCGTGTCAACATACAATCAAAATTATATTTATTATTCAAAATGTACCACAAGGCTTCAAACCCTTCTATAGTTTTAATAAAATTATTTGTGGTTGGTACACTGCTTGTTACTAACCGAATTTTATCACCGGTCTTTTTAGTCATAACAAACTTAACGCTTTTTAAAACAATTTTAGCTTTTGTCCAAAGTCTATGATGAGGTGACGATTTTTTTACACATCCTTTATAAATTTTCCCGTTAGGGATGTAAAAAGAACTAGAATTTAAAGAGTCAAACAAATTGTCGACCAATGCGACCAGAGGAATTAAATGGCGACATTCTTCTTTTAAAATCCCTCGCGCTGTCAGATGTTCAGTCACAACTGCCACACTGTGACTAAATATCTGAGCAGCCAGTTTTACCCTCATCTTTTTTATTTTTTCAGGGTTTATATGTTCTTCCGTTATTTTATGCAATAAACGAAGTTCCCCAAATGTTTTGTCAGCTTCATAGATATTTCTAAAATATTCCCACTTCACAATTTTCTCTTTACCGTCATCATCTATATCTCTATACAGTAAATCTTTCGTCAGTAAATTATTTCGCAGACCCTTTAACAAATGGGGAACATCATAGAGGGGTATAATTTTAAGTTTTTTAATTTCGTAATAATCATACCGCCATTCGTTTCCTTGTCGCAAAACCACAGCTTTGGTTTCATTTACTAAGTCTGTAATGGCTCCAACATTTACTGAGCTTTGATCGCAGACTGAGCATAGGGGAATCAAACCAGTAGCTTGTATTGCTTGAACTACCTCTTCTATAATATTTTTTAATTTATTTCTCGTGAGGCGGTTTGTGAAAAAGTAAGCTACTGGTTGTTTAAAGTTGGCTTTCAAACCCTTCACCATAAAAACTAAAACATGGTCTGCAATTTCGCTATCATTTTCACTTGTCCCCATGCTCACAAAACCTTTAAATTTATCGTTAGCCATGTCAAAATTTATTTGTGGCGTTATATGCATCTCATCAAATATTAAAGAACAGAGTCGCTCTTGAACATTCATATCTTTAACAGTTTTTTTCAATTTTTTAAAAACTTTATTATTTATACCTGGTCCTAACTTAACCTGAGCTAGAATTGCTTTTAGGGTTTTTTTTGACGGCAATGTGAAGCAATGCGCCAAAAGGGCATAACACTTTGGGCTTCTTTTATACAGGGAAAGAGATAAAATTTTTTCCTCTAATGAGAATCTCCGCCCAGACGGTTTCTTAGCAGTTTGTTTATACTGCATATTTGTAAATAATTTTGCAGCAGAAGACATGTTTTTTGTAACTTTTTGTAATGCTTTGTCTTCACTCATTTTAGATGCACTTTCTAATCTGCTCTTGAATGTATTGCACCGCTGTCTAAGCACCTTTATCTGTCGTTTAAAACCTTTTATTAGGTTTTGCTCATTTTTATATTTACTGAGCGTCAAAATAGGCTTCCTGTTGATTTTATCTGAAAAAAAAAAATACTTGTTAGACTTTGCCCAAGGTACAAACAAATACAACCTACAAAAATGTAATTAAGCACATGTCTATCAAATCCTTTTCGGCCCATACGCTATTTCACTATATCCAAGGATAATTAAGATTTCGCTATGGAACAAGTGTCTTCAGGTTCAGAATTTAATTGTGGATCCGATAGTGAATGAATTTTGAAAATTGGCTAGATAGTTTTAAAGAAATTTCGAAAATTGTAAAAATATCTGGAAAAAAATTAAATCTTTTTTAAGTAAGTTATTAATTAAAAAAATACTATTACATATATTGAAAAAATAGGAAAACACATCTTCGAAGACAGATTGCGCGTCGATTGAGACCTCTCAGAGTGAAATTGGTTAATAATTGTGTACTTTACAAGCGTGAAAAAAAGTAAAAACGGCCGAAATCGTTGAAAACGAGAGAAGTTAATGAATGATGAAGATGAGATTTTTTGCTGAATGGTCCAAAAAATCGTCTTTCGTGAAATTCGCCATCATCGATGGCAACAACGACGGTAAGACTATTCCAAATTTCAAGTTGATAGCTTTAGTAGTTCTTGAGATATCCAGCTGTGACAGATAGACAGACAGATAGACTTAGTCACACCATAAGCGTTCCTTTTGAAATAACGTGAAGTAAAAATCACATTTTTGAAAATTAACCGTTTTTCGAACTTTCGGTGTATTTTTCTCCTAACTAGTTCAAACAAAGTTCCGAGCTTGCTGCTTTCGAGCTTTCCATCTAGACGCCACTTTTGAACACTCATTGACAGGACTATTATATAATTATTAATAATCTTACCAATAGGAGCCATGTTATATTTTCTAGGCAGCAATAAATTGCTATAATTATGCTCCAAAAATGTGGAGATGCTTGGCCCTGAAAAAAATTGTAATGACTTTTAGAACCATATTTTTTATAAATTCATTGAGTACCTATTAGTTACAGTAATCAACCATTTCATAAATTTCTAAAACATTAGTTATGATAATAAATACAAGTAAAGAGTAAAATAGTATAGGAATGTATATGTATTAGAAAAAATTTTAGGTGGTTTAAGTAAAAATTTTAAATTTATATTGCCAAATTAAGTGATTCTCAAATGATTACCTGTCGAGTATGCAATCGATGATGTCTGATGACAAGAAATATCCATAGTCATTTTTGTCGCGGGCTCAGAAACTCGGACTGTCGATGATGAGGCACTGGCAGCAGGTTTATCTGAAAATTTATTTATTTATTTCAATTTTTTATAACTTTTTCATCTTTGCATTTTTCAATGCTATCTTTAAATATAAATTTTTTACTGAAAAATAACAAGGCTCGGCCGGGGTTGAACCCGCAACCTTTGGATTACCGGTCCACAATTGAAAATTGTAAATTGCTCAATAGTGGAATCGTATTATTCTAGATTTAAAAAAATAAAAAGTTATTATTTAAATGTTAACAAAAAATTACAATATTTATTTTACATTAAGGCATAATAAGTATAAGGCATAGCAAGTCCACAGCTCAATTGTCGAGTAGATTTATTCTAGTATCTTTTTTTAATAAAAAAATATTATTAACTTTCTAACAAAAAATTTCAATATATATTTTACATTAAGGCATAATAAGTATAAACTACAGTTTTCCGTTTTAATCAAGTGATTCCTACATTATTACCTGTCGAGTATGCAATCGATGATGTCTGATGACAAGAAACATCCATAGTAATTTCTGTTGCAGGCTCAGAAACTCTGACTGTTGATGCTGAGGCACTGGCAGCAGGTTCATCTGAAAATTTATTTATTTATTTCAATTTTTTATAACTTTTTCATCTTTGCATTTTTCAATGCTATCTTTAAATATTAATTTTTTACTGAAAAATAACAAGGCTCGGACGGGGTTGAACACGCAACCTTTGGATTACCGGTCCACAATTGAAAATTGTAAATTGCTCGATAGTGGAATCGTATTATTCTAGATTTTTAAAAATAAAAAGTTATTATTTAAATGTTAACAAAAAAATTACAATATTTATTTTACATTAAGGCATAATAAGAGTAAGGCATAGCAAGTCCACAGCTCAATTGTCGAGTAGAAAAAATATTATTAACTTTTTAACAAAAAATTTCAATATATATTTTACATTAAGGCATAATAAGTATAAACTACAGTTTTCCGTTTTAATCAAGTGATTCCTACATTATTACCTGTCGAGTATGCAATCGATGATGTTTGATGACAAGAAACATCCATAGTAATTTCTGTTGCAGGCTCAGAAACTCGGACTGTTGATGCTGAGGCACTGGCTGCAGGTTCATCTGTAAATTTATTTATTTATCTAAATGTTTTATAACTTTTAAGGCTTTGCATTTTTCAATACTATCTTATTTATAACATTATATTATTACTCTGCAAATTTTAAAAACAATGAGTTGTTTCAAACTGACATTAAGGAAATGAAAAGTAAATCAATAGAACTTTTTGGTACCCCTTATTAATCTCATATTCCAACTGCAATTCCATCTCATTACAAAAAAATATATATATATGAAAAATACTTTATTCACATTATTTTTAAAATTGGAAACATTCAATATCACCATTAAAAGTTGATGAATATATATTTTTTACAAATTTAATTACTTTTTTGTTAACTGATAGATTGTGTTAGCGAAATTATGGTAATAAAATAACTGTAATCTGTTAAGTGTCTTATTGAGAAAAAAGTCCTATGTATAGGATAAAAATAATTTAATAAATAACTGGGACAGGCGAAAGGCTAAGGAAACAGGTTCTATTTATAAATCACAGGGAGACACAATAATTTTATTTATAAGATTAGATAGATTATCCTTCAAATAGATTTAAGTATTTGAAGTCTGTAATATTATGCAGCATAATCATCAGTTTGATATTATGTTCACTTACCTATCATACAAAAAAATCACACAATAAGTTAAAAACAAAAACATGTTAAGCAATGAGTTCCTTACCATCAATAATAGAAGTTCTTCGAAGTAGGGGTACATGTACATCCATAGATATCTGTGGCACAGTTTCAAAAGCACCTACAGTTTCAGTCACTGGATGTCGCAGTTCACCTGAAAATAAAAAACATAATGAAATAATCTCAAAAACTACAAGCTACAATTCTTAGCACAAAATGTGGGTTCAATAATTTTTTTTGTAACTGTGGCTATATACCTTTCAAAAACAATGATGGAACTGCAACAGCATTCAATCGGTTATTTCTGTTTCTGTCGTTTTCTGTAAAATGTCTATCACACAGTCTTTGTTTACGATAGAATGCATAATCTCCATCTGTTGTCAGTGACCCTCCAACAATTTGCACCCACTGATTAAATTGTTCGGGAAATCGTATTGGGTTTGGGAATACATGCAAGTGTACTCCCTTATCTGAAAAAAATATAAATTTACATTTTAGACCACTATTTAATATGAATAATGATATGAGTAGCTCGGTGGCGTAGTGGATAAGCGCCGCGGCCCGCGATCGTAGTCGTTAAGCAACTTTCGCAAGGGTCGGTCATGGGATGGGTGACCAAAAAATTATTATCTCGAGCTACTCCGTGCTTCGGATGGCACATTAAGCCGTTGGTCCCGGCTGCATTTGCAGTCGTTAATACCTTCCAATCCGCATTGGGCCAGCGTGGAGGCTCATGGCCCATCCTCCTTAACCATCCATAAGGAAGGCCTGAGCCCCTGCAGTGGGGACGTAAAAGGGCTGGTGATGGTGATGAATGATATGTCATGATAGACATGTACAAAAGGTTGGTGGCATGTGCACATTTATCTTAAGACAGTGCTCACAGGGAGTTCTCTGTTTCAAACTCACAAGTCACAAAGTTAGATGGCCTTACAAAGTATGGTGTCCGCAAGAAAATAGTTATTAACGGTCTGCGCAGACGAGGGACTTTTGTCCGCCGGATTAAAAAGTGGTATCTTTCGTCATTTGTTCAAAACATACGACGGTTATTTTATTCGTAAAGGTCTAGCAAGGAGGCAGGAAGAGCTTCATGGGCAGAACAATCTTCGTTTACGTTGCATTCGCAGAAATGTTTCCACTTTTAGGTTAGTATGTCGGCGGAGAAGTCCGTCGTCTGCGCAGGTTATAATCTTTATCAAATACTACTTACCACTTGGGCATCCAAGAAAGCACCGTGGAGGCATATTAAAACACTAATTATAACTACACAACACACACTAAACTATCACTGCGTCCAAATGTCGCCAAACACTCACTATTTAACTAACACGAAAGGAGTCCTGTCTCACACTGGTCAAATATACGGAGGAGAATGATACTCAACTCAACGTACTAGCTTGGAAAGGTTTTGCACAAATGTAACTTCTAAACGTGAAATTACAAGATGTAACAAACAAAACAGATTAATCGCAGGCGCACCGCACAACAATCGATTCTGTCTGCCATGTTTTTTCTTTGTTGACGTTTGATATGACATTTAACGCTGATTGCACTGACATCTAGTGAACTTTTGCTAAATGTAAAAGTTTGTGTACATGTTCATAGATGGCGCTAGTTTCTAAGCGTAAACACTTTCTTCCAATTTGACAGACAATTATCACTTGTCAATATTTTGATATTTCTTTTTTTTATATTAAACGCAAATACTTGACCCATACAGCCACGTATTTTTTACATTCATTATACTGTCGGGATTCAAAGTTACACAGCACTTTCATTGTTGAATTTTGAAATAAAAATGTGATGTCCGCAAAAAATGTGATCTGTTACACACCTGTTATTTACCCTGTTTTATTTAGAATTTTCGCACCATTATTATAAAATTAAGCCGTAAACCTTTACCCTAATTTTTTGAATTGCTCTTAAGCCTTAAATCAGGGTTCTCCACGCCAAATGGACAAGCCATAAGGGACCAGGTCATAGTATAGGGTCAACGCGCGACTGGCCTACCTGAGAAAACACAAGAGTACTTACCTCATAAAACGTTTCGAAACTCACGAAATCTTTTAACTTTCCTCACCCGCATGATTCCTTGAGATGCTTTTAGATTGATGCATTATTCAACTGTCTTTGATTTAGATCAAGTGGAAGTAGTCTCTTTTGGAGATAAGTTTACTTATGTTTTTACTTATGCATGGGACGATATTGTTACAATAAAAGATATAACTATGATAACATAATTTACTCATAAGCACAAAATAAAATTCAAATAGGACTAGAATTCAAAATATCACAATTCAAATACATAATTAATATTTACAACTAGTGAAAAACCAAGCACAATTGGACGTAGTTATGCAAACCAGATCCAACCCACAATTCTGTTAAATCGAGTTATATATGCAGAAAAGTCAAAAAATTAACCTTCTATAGTTTCCATGAAGGCGTGGTGATTTAAAAACTATTTGCTACAAAAATAGCTAAAAGTACATTATCTCAAAAAATCTTACCAAAAAATAGAACAATTTTTGCAATAAACACCCAGGAAGGTTTTATAAGAAATATTATTATAATTAAATTCATATATGTAGGTACAACTTATTGACAAAAGAAAATACATACTACAATGAATTTAACTAAAATAAAGAGTTTTTTTCTTAAAAACTTAAAATTTGTAAAAGAAACATAACCCATTTTTCTCAAAACTGACATCATGTGGGTTGGCTCTGGTTTGTATAACTAAGTGCAATTAAAGAATATTTAATTTTAATGTGATGAAAAATGGTAATGCCTTATATGACTATAATAAATATTTTGTGTAAATATTTGCAAAATAGTTTTTAATAAATACTTATGGTCATGGTCATATTTATAATATTAATGACGAAGAGAACATTATATGATAATATAGGTACTAAGTGAAAATTTATGTATTGACAGACAACAAACAATACACTTTATGATATGTGATCAAACAATGCATTTTATGATATAAATCCTAATTTTTTTTAGAAAATCAACTAATAAATGAAGTACATAATTAAATAATAATAATAATAGAAAAAATTTGCCATAAATAATATTAATTTCAGCCTACATTTCTAATAGACTACAAATGTAATTCTATTTTCAATATCTAATAAATGTCTTATTATACTAAAGATTGTTGTTTCTCATTACATACAACAACAATGCTTTATAACAACAAATTAATATACAAGTACAATTAACAAATAAGGCAAATAATTGCGGTGGACATTTGCAAATGACATCACAGGGCAAGATACACAACGCAAGTTGAAATGGACTTACATAACAGTCTTCAGGGGTGAAAGTTATACCTATTTACTAATAAATATGTTCATTATATTATTATTGTATTTGGTTACACCAACATAATTCATTTAGTGCAGTCTAGAAAACAATATCAAAACATTGTCACTTAAAAACTAACAAAGCAAAACAAGTGAGATCCTGTAATTAATATAACTATATAAAAAGATACAATATAACTATTGTGCTAACACTCCCAATTTGCTTCTCAGTTGCGAGTCTGCAGGTAATGCTAATGCCCATTTTCTTAAACCAACAAGCATAACTGAGCTAAGCACCAAAATAGCTCCAAATACAGAAAACTTACTGGGTATCTCATTAAAAAACATTACTTGCCAAAGAAATGCAAATACAATGTCTGCTGATCTTGCAATGGCTACAGGACCTGCTTGTTCCATTTGTAAAGACATTGTTAGCAAAATTTGTCCAAGATAACTGAACAGTGCTAAACAGACAACAAGAAACCTCTCAGTGCCACAATTAGGCATACAAAGGACACCAAAAATGAATGAATAAAATAAAGTTTGTAATATGGCAATAGCACCAAAGTTAGTCATGATTACAGAGAAGTGCAATCCTTTGAGCACTCTCAACAAAACATAAGCATTAGCTCCAAATATTGTAGAAATAAAAGCAGCCACTGCCCCTCGCAAACTGTTGAAGTTTTGATTATGTTCCACAGAGGTATCGCTACCAAAGAAGAATGGAGGATGTGTAATTAGTATAACTCCAATAAGTGTCAATATAATAGAAATTGTATTCCAAATACCACAAGGTTCTTTTAAAAAGACTCTCGCAAAAAGTGCTACAAAAACAGGCACAGAAAAGACAATCACTGATGCATCAGCAAGTGGCATGTTCCGAAAGGCATAGAAACTTAACATTAGTCCCACTGTACCTACAATAGACCGCAAGGCTAGCAATAATCGCTTGCCTGGGGGGAAAACAGGTTGTTCGGTGTAAATAACAATAGGTAATGTAGGCAAAAGTACTCCTATAAATCTAAACATTGCTAGTTGCATTGGATCAATATTTACGAGACTCTTGACTATGACTGAACATAACGAGAAAAACAAAGAAGATAAGGTGGCTAATATCAGACCCAAATAAGGACATCTTTTTATAAGTGGCCTCTTGTTTTCTAAAAGATTTGGTACAGTTTCATCGCCACTACCAGCCGATAAATCCACGAGGTGTTGAAGTTCCAGATGTTCAGGCATCGCTTCCAGTACTCTAAAAAGATTGTAAATAGACTTTTAACAATACCCATCACCGAGCAAAACTACTTAAGCATCTATGATCATTTGTTACACACCACAATTGTACGGCAATCCGAACATATATTTTCTTAGTTTACTAATAACCGGAACCCATAATTGAATAAGCAGATACCAAATTATTTACAACATTATCGTCGATTTTATGTAAGTAAATATCGGCGAGCTCTAGCTTATTTTTCTTGCAATTCTCCAAAGAGTAAGTAAAGCATCCTGCAGTGTTACCAACTCCCAACAAAATAAAACCCTAAAACCAAACTCAAATAACCCTAAATAGCCCTGAATGGTGTAATCAAAAGCCCCAAAAAAAAGCCCTGTCCTACTTGTATTACCCACAGATTTAATGGTATAGTTTAAAAAAAAAAATCTATTTTATTAAGGTGATTAAAATAGACCTCAGTTTTATTTTCTAATATTTTTTTAGTATTAATTAATTAATTACTATTAGAAACGCATTCAATTAAATTTTTTTAATCTAAAAAAGGTGACTATTTGTCTTTTTTTACATGAATAAAAACGCACTCTAATACACGAAACTCTCCTGTCTTTTCTACTAGTTTACTAAGAAGAAAGGAGCCAAGGATTTGATGAACGAAGCCAAAAAGCATACTATGTTTTATGACTAAAACCAATCCAAAAAAAGTAATAAACCATGACACGAAAATAAAACTACAGAAAATGCAAATAGATTAAAAAATGTCATATTGAAGCCATAGCAATATACTACATAGGTAGCCTGCAGACATACACACACGTCCAGCTAAACATTTGCTTCTATATAATGAACAATTGGTACCTGTTTTGTCAAATAATTTAACGTTTCATCCATTGTCGAATTCGAAGAGAAAATAAAGTTCTTTTGTATGTCGTAAACAATGTTGGTTAATCTATTTTAAACCAAATAAAAAGATTTAATGGGTAATTTAGACATTACCTGATTTTTTTATTATTAATTTATTTAATTTTTTTAGCACTAAAATTAGCCCTAAATTTTCTTGAGCCCTAAAAAAAGCCCAATCAGTTTATTTCCGCCCTAAATTTGGGGCTAAAAGCCCTAAGTTGGTAAGCCTGGCATCCTGACTTTTTTTATTGGATAAGATATAACAATAATCGGTAAACATTTACACAATAATCGATACGGAATTTCTAAGGCTTGGTCCTAGCCTAGCTCTATAGTTGGAGCCAAGAAGTTTAGATATACTTTAATCAATTCAATTATTGTATGGAGCTATCAAAAAACTTTATACTAAAGATTGATGTAAAAATAAAGAAATATTAAAATATTGAATAAAAAAACTATTCGGAAATCAGTTTTTGACATAATCTTTATTAACATTTTGAATTTGATAAGATTTTAAGTTGAAGACTTCAACTCGCAAAACGATTTAATAGAAATTGTTTCTACAGAGAGCTATTAAAATCTATTAAAATATTGCATGCATGTCAAAAGAGGGTATATAAAAAACTTTGACATATAGTTCAATGTTGCCATTATAGTGGATTTTCCACCAAACCCTGAGAAAAATTCATCACTATTAGACTTATCATTATAACTATCACCTTTTAAGACCACTATGACACTATCAGCTTGAAACCAATAGTCTAATATCTAGCCCTCTTCACTCCACTACGAAAATCATCAAGGCGAAGCTTTCTCACTACACAATACAAACACAATGTACCTATGTTGTGATTTTTTTTAGTAAGGAAAATCACTTTTATATGCAACCACACTGTTTGTATTTTCAATTTTCGTTTCAACAAGTTTTCGGCGCGGTTTTATTTCTTTACATATCTGAACGTAAATATAATGAATAATGATTATATTTCTAAAATACCACTTATTGCGAACCAAGTACTGAATCATGTGGAGAGTCACGGATCTAATAATCGTAATAATATGTTTTTAACAAAGTTGTAGTTATGGTTTACTGTGATAGAAAGGAGTCCAGCCCAAAACCTTTTGTTTTTTTCCTCTTTAACACACAGTTATATAATCAGTAAGGCTACATAATTTGATATAATTTTTATTTAAAGTTTCAGACGAAGATTTAGCTCTACTGCATTCTGTTTTTGGCCCAGTCTTACAAAGAGCTTGTGACATCTTAGAGAAGCAGCATACGCTCATAGAGTACACCACATCAAATAAAGGCAGGACACTTATTGAAATTAAGGGAGAAAACAACCATTGTTACAGGGTATTTCCCAAAATAAACTATTGCCCTTGTCAAGCTTTTAAACACCAAGTTTTAGAGAAGAAAACTGACGTTTGTTGCAAACATATCTTAGCTGCCCGCCTGGCACAGATATTAAACAGAACAGTTTGTCACCAAGTTACACATGACCAGTATCTAATGCTTGTTCAGTCTATGTTCGATTTAGAAGAAAAAAATGGATGACGGTCTCTCTGTTTATTATTTTACTGCTTCTATGGACTCTGGCAGAACGCTTTGCAGTTTACTTAAGGCCATACAGTTTCAGGAGGTATATATTTACAGTTTTTTTAATTATGAACAATCTCTTTTTTAATAACCTTACCCTAAGGAAAGGCAAAGACATCTAGTTCTCTAGAAGTTATATGCAATATATTATATCTAGGGCTTCAAGCCAGAGAGGTGTATTTGTAAAAATGAGTTATTTTGTTATAATGTCAATCTTCTTATTTTATCAATTAACTAAACAAATTGGCAAATTACTAAAGAAATACAAATGAAACCCTTTTTGATATATTACTGACAAGTCATATTTATTATCCTGAAAAGTAAGGATATTGCTAATACTACTTGGATTGAGGCTAACAATATATGCAAAGTACAAACAGCCAATTCACTACAAGATAAATAAGATTATGCCAATCATTGATTGTAAACAAATGGATGGTATAAATAACCTACATAGCTAGGTTATCTATATCCAACCCAAAGGATTTATGGTACATGAAGAGTTTGCTGTTGCTGTTGCTGTTGCTACAACTAACCCAATGCTGCTCAGATGCACAAAAGCTTGCCTAGCTATTTGTTTTTGTTTTAATTTGTAAATATAAACATATACATTACTGATATAATTAATTCTGTAGTCGGCTGTATTTTGCGCTTTACCAGAAGGCTTGAAACTGACAGTGGAGGAAGGAAAATGTGTACAAGCTTCTGCATATGTACCTTCGGATAACTTCACAGAGTACCATGTCAGAGAAAATGTGGATGTCATGTTCAAGGTAAACAATTAAATATTAGTTGCTTAAAAATTTCCTGTCTTGTTTTTTAAAAGTATTCACGATAGAACTATAACAATAAAACTTGTAGATTTAAGATGGTTATATATTTGCAATAAAAAAACATTGAGGGTCAAAACTGATGTGAGTATGTGTGACTTGATGTGCTGACTTTTGTGTACTGAACTATTTAAAACTAATTTAGTGTGATTATGCTGTTCAAACTTCAATTATAGAATCAACATTTATTATTGTTTCAGATAAGTATTGCTGTGTTGGCTGAATGCTTAAACATATTTGGATCTGGTGAAGAGTCCAGCCTGAAGATGTATTATAGGGCTGAAGGATCTCCTTTGCTTTTAGTGTATGTATTAACTTTGTTATTATTTTCATCATATTTTATGTGTACTAGTAAGTTATAGAGTTTTGCATTTATTTTTATTGGAACCTCATTTAAGACTACATTTTAGGTATAAACAACATAGGTATAGACACTATACTCCATGAATTATATCATTAGACAGAAGTTAAATTAGGTTCTTTTTATGGTATATTTTGTGACAAAATATCAACAATCATGTTACTCTTAAGCATGACGGCTAATTTGCTACATATCCACATAAATACCAGCTGCTATACTTAACCGTTATCGTCTAAGCTATCTATTAAATAAATTTATGAGTATTTGACTAACTTAATAGATTTAATAACTATTACAATCAAAAGTGTTCATCTTGAAGAACCTAAAGAAGCAGGGTTGGATAGTTTTGGCACGATTCTCACGTCACTATAACTCTACCAAATTTAAAATGTTGCCTAATCCCTTCAAACTTTATGGCAGTACAGCTTTTTAATTTTCTTAGATTATGATGTATTCATAATAGTCAAAATACGTAACCGATAATCACACTATTATGCTTAGTTATTTATAATATTGCTTAAATTAAGTATGAAAAAACAAATATTTTACACTCGACACGTGTCTGCAAACAGCGCGTGACGTTACGACCCTCTACTCATATCAGAACTTGGAGAATTGAACCTTATGCATTATAGAACAATATTAGTTTTAGATGGGCGTGACGTCATATGAATTATACTTTTTTTAAGATATATCCCACTCTACATGCCATCAAAAGTGACATATTTCACATCTATAAATGAAAGACTTTTAATTTGTTCTGTACCATGTGGACTATGAAGCAGATATGACAACTTCTTAGTGGTATTTGCACAACTCAGCTTATTGACGTCATGTGTATCGTATAAAAATTTGACATTTTTACTTGAAACTTATTTGATTAAGGTACCTTGGTAGTTATGTTATGTTATGTTATGTTATATGGCAGGCCTTTCCGCAACTCGACACTTTGTGCCTATTTTGCGTTAATAATGGGGTGCAACAATCCTGCCACCCCAGCTACTCCAGGAAGCCCATAAGTCCTTTAACTTTGCCGCATGCCTCCTTTAATGTCCGTGGGCTACCCAGATGTGTAGATCTATGTCTTGAAACGCCCCTGCATTCCAGTAGTACGTGAGCGCTTGTCTCTTCAGCGTCCAGCTGTCAGACATACTCATGTTATATAAGTGCTTGTTAAAATAGCCTTGACCAGTTAGTATACCTACTATTAGTCTTAACGATTGTCTAGGTAGTTTGTTTAACTTACGTGCCAGTTACAGGTCTACCTTGAGGATTGCTTCTTTGGCTTGCTCACAGTCAGTCGTTTTAGTCCAGTATTCATCGTGTTGTCGGTAACAGCGTTCTCTTACCCAGTTTCTCATCTGTCGAAATGGAATGGGTATAATGGGTTCCGGTCCAGTGGGCTTTCTGCTTGACCCTTCTCTGACCAAACTGTCTGCCGCGTCATTTCCTCTCGACCCGCTGTGCCCCTTGATCCATTGTAAGGTCAGTTTATTTCTTTTACATTGCTCTGTCAACTTGCAGTGACATTCTTGCAGTAGAACTGATATCATCAAATTGTTGAGCTTGTAATACCGATGCACTGTCAGAGAGAATACGGATATTTTTACTTTTTACTCTCCGGCTTATAATTGCCTCAGCAGCCTTTATTATACCCACGCAAACAGCCTGGAATATTGTGTTGTAGATTCCCAGTGCCGTGGATATATGGATGTTTAGACCCTCCGAGAAGACACAAGCACCAATACCTGTGTCAGTCTTAGAGCCGTCCGTAAAGATCCTTAACTCTTTGTGAAGGCAGAAATCTGGTGTGTCTTCATAGAGTTGTATTTTGTATTTCTTGTCAAAAACATACCTCCTGGGATAAAGAAGGGGTATTCCTTATTAATGCCTTTTAGGATGTTTGTGTGCGGGATATCATTATCCCTCCATAGTCCCAGCATTTTTAGCCATGGCTTCTTGTTGTATAAAAAGATGTAGTGGTCTTACGTTGCGTATCGTTTCTAGCGCTGCTGTTGGAGTTGTTCTCATGCAGCCAGTGATTGCACAGCAGGCACGTCGTTAGAGACACTTATGTGATTTAGGAAGAGGTTTGCAGGTTTCATCAGGTACAGCACCACATATCAACCTAATACTGTTTCTAAGAACGGATTATACGTAAGCGAAGTAAGCAGTAAAAGCCGTACCCCTAGTAGCTATCTTTGATAATTTGTGAAGAGCAAATAAATATTAGTTAATTTTATTGCAAACTTTTTCTACCTGATATTTCCAATCCAGTCTTTGATCAATTACTATACCTAAGAATCTTGTTGAATCGACATTTGTAATTATCTGTTGCTTATATTTTATATTAATTTTTGGATTAATGTTATTTATTAAATATGTTTTTTCAAAATTAATAACTAAATTTTTATTTCTGAGCCAATCGACTATAGATATCATTGTTGTTTTAATGTCATTTCATGCTGTCCGTTGTAACAACTACTGATATATCATATAGTACCTACTTATAACGAAGTTAAAAAGAAAATTTAAGTTGGCTTTTTCGTTTCTCTTATACTCTTCTGTTACAGGGAAAATTAATAAATATGTGAGTATTTTATGGAGAAAATTTTATGGAGAACTTTTGCAATAACCGTTTTGCGAGTAATTAATTAGAATATTTTAAGATGCGCACTACGTCATCCTCTGTCTTTGTCTGCCTCATGGACGGCACGTTGGCTTCGTCTAGTTTTCTCTTGACTTTCGGCAGTCTTAAATTAGTCCCGGCTGCATCAGAACTCTTTAACAACCAATTAGCACTGGGTCCACACGTTGGTTTATTGCCTATATTCGATTTCATGCATTGAGTAAGCTTGCGGTGTGGGGCATTAATATAAAGCCGATTATGATAATATTTGATGACCTCCACGCCGATTTTCCCGAGTCCCGAGTTCGATTCCCGGTCAAATCAACGTACAATCTGGACATTGCTTGTCTCGGGTCTGGTTGTCTGGTCGCTTCGTTGTCTCGGATATTCTATATTACGAGTGCCATAGCTGCTCATCTTGGAATCTTAATATATAATATATATTTGTTTCAGTTTACAACCACAGTCTGTCCATAACGTGATGACAGATTGTGAAATTTCAACACAAACAGCCGATTCCGTGTTAGAACTCCGCGACGAAGGCGCTGAGGAGGTGGCGAAGTTAGTACTAAAGGCACCGGCGTTTCTCGGTCTGCTCGCCGATTTAGAACGCTCGTGCGACGTAATAGAGCTCAAATTGTCCCCGGAACACCCTAATGTCAGCATTGTGACTTATGGAATGCAAGTAAGTTTTATTCATTGAATATGGTGAACTATGGACAGACTCTGCAAATTTGACTCCTCTTTGTAAATAATAAAATACAGTATAACTTACTATAAGCATTGGGAAAGTTTATTTTAGAATTGAAAGGTGGATTTTGTGATCTTGTCTTTGCAGATAATACAAAAAATTCCGGTATTATTTTTTAAATAATTGACTTTTGTATAAATTCGAAAAAAAACGGCCGGGTCATAGCGTGGGTGATGGAAAATTTCTCATCTTTAATCCCGCATCTACAGTCGTTATTCGCCTCTATTGGGCCCCATTCTCCACATTTGGCACCCATCCATAGGGAAGGCCTGTACTCTAATATTGGAAACGTTAGAAATTGTATGTTTGTAACGAGTAATCTTCGGAAATACTGATCCGATCAAGAAAATTTACCTACAGGATGCTACATCATTAACATCAGACGTCGCGGGAAAACGGTCAGTGGGCAAATTGTCTAACTTCAAAATCTTCAAAGATTATGCTAGCGATTTAGGGAATTATGTAACGTTAAAAAATGATGATTGAATGATAAAAAATCAATTAAAGCTTAGTTAAACCCGCCGAAAGTTATTTAGTTTGACATGATGTCGTACTTTCGTTTTTCTTTAAGAAACGTCGCGTTCGCAAAGTCAAAGAGTTGCAAAGTTCGTGAATCTTTCAATGTCCAATGAAAGGAATTGCGATAGATTTAAATGTAGACAATTAACCCCCAGTGTGTAATGTTTATGATATTTAAGGACCGGTCGTGTATAGACGTCCCTAAGTCCTCTGACATGGTGCAGAGCTTCAGCTGTGAACATCCAGTCACCCTCACGTACCATCTGCATCACGTGAGACTCATCATGAAGGCACTCGCTATATCCACCAAGGTACATTGGAACCATCGTCCGTCACAGGCTGTATTTACTGCAGAAACTTGGTAGTTACTGTTGAAATTTTGTACTGTAACTACAAGGATTAAGGACAGAATGAAATAAATATAGGAGAATGACAATGTCACTAACCAAAAATGACGTATTTTTTACTTTTGGCAACATTTTTCTTTGTTAAGTATAAACTTTAAAATGCAAAGATCCCTGTGAACGTACCATGCATAGAAACTGCTAGGTGGTGTTGCTTAGAGGGGCTGATCACAATTTCTTGAACTTTAAACGCTCATTACTCAAAATCGCATTTATTGCATTGTGTCACTATCGTTCTCAACGTGCGATATTTAAGGGGTTCCCATAAGCCAAATGTGATCTTTCCTCATTCTCAATACCTACGGAACTCGCGGGCGAGATCTGTTTCGCAGTTGGCCAGGTTTTCTTACAATGGGGACGTAACTCGGCCATTTGTTCGTATATAGTAATGGACAGATAATAGGGACTAAATTGATGGCTCAAGAATTCGTTTCAAAATCAGAGATGGTGACGTATACACCCGAGTCTTCTCAGTTTCTACATAAGAGTTAAAATTTGATATATTTAATTGCTGGTCTACCACAAAACTACACTTACATTGATTTCCTTGACATCGTAATGAATCAAATTACATTGAGTCATTTAATACTGTTTTGTTGGTCTGTGTGTTAAATACATCGACTTCTCAGGTTCAATCAAATGCACTAAATATTGAACATACTATTGAACATTTAATGAATTCTGCATCAATCAGATTTCAACAAAAACTATGTAATTGTGACATAGGCCTACTAGTGGACATCCTGCTGTACCATTTTTGCCATAGCCCTAAAATTCGTCAAAAATGTGAAAATTAGGCCCAGTTCACTCTAACGATAGACTCCAGTCTAGACAGAACGAGGTCTAATCTGTCTATGCCATAATTATAATTACATCGTTTTCATTGACATCGGATTGGTTTTGAAATTTAACCTTTAGGTATCACGATGCTACACTAATGCGATGTAAACCCAACCAGCAAACGTTAACTAGATTGGATTTGATTTGTTAGTAAAATACAGTAAAGGTTGATTGCATTTTGATTCAATTCCATTCCAATCAAATCAAAGCTAATCCAGTTATCTGGTAGCTCTGCTGCAATAGAAACGAGCACCTGAGAGATCGCGCACCGAATAAATGATAAGACTGATTACGTGAATTTTAGATATGAGTTAGAAATTTTCTTGTATTTCAACAGGTCGTACTACGATGCAGTGCGAATGGACTCCTCTTACTTCAACTGAAACTAGAAAAAGAAGACCAGAAACAGATGTTCTCAGAATTTTATATCGTACCTCTATTAGATGACTGATTACCAGTTGTAATATTGTTGTTAATTCTAAAAATTAAATAAAAATATTTTCATACAAAATATAATTTTTATTTCCATTCCAAAATTACATATAGGTATACTTTATTTAAGGAATGTTCCTGTTTTCACAATTATGCTTACATTAACGTAGCGAAACATGGTATAATCTGACTCGTGTCAAAAATATGTACTTATATAGTTTTGTCTATGGTATTCCCAATCGGCGCCGACTCGTTAACCGAATGTTGACATATCGGATTGTTTCTTGTGTTGTATATACTCAAGATTAAGGCCTGGTCACAGCGACGGACACATCCGTAAATCCGGTCCGTTTCGCACTGAATAACGCCTAAATATGTGTCTATAAATGGATAAGAATTTTGGATACAATTGGTGCAGTAACTAGACATGAAAATAAAAATGACGACTCGATTTTTTTGTACCTATCTGTTTAAAACTATACGATATATATACACCGTCTTATTAAAAAAAAAGAGTTATAATTAATTATCCGACTACAATTTGGCGTTTTCTTTGCTGTCATTGATAATTTACTTAAAACTAAGGTTTAAACCAAGCACTAACTCGTTTAATAACAAGGCGGATCGTGTTTATTTTGCATAGACTGAAGATATTCGCAACACAGGAAAAAAGTACAAACAATATAATAACTGTACAGTAGGCGGCCTTATAGCTTAAGTGATATCTTCTAGGCAACCTATTTATATATATTTGATTTTATTCAATTGAAAAATTTGTAGACTTGCCATATAGAAATAATCTCAATTGTCACACGCGGCCACAAAGTCGGCGATGACTGGAAATAAACAATTTTGACATGTCATTATTTCTCATTGTAATAAGAATAAATAGACGTCAAAAGTATATTATATAAGTATTAGATACAGTGAACAGCACATGAGGTTACACTAAACTGTGAATTTTCTCCACTTGATTTTAAACCTTCATAAAATTGAAGATAAAGTTCAAAATCAAAAGCCCGACGTGCAGCTTTATAAACAAAATATTTTTAAAGGTTACAGTTACATAACTTAATTCGGAAACACTGCACATTATTATACTCAGTTATTTACATTGTAAGCTTTATTTTTTTTTTTCAAAATTAATAATTATTATGTTGTGTAGATGAATAAGTACAGTCGAGTAAAACAATACTCAGGGCCTGACCGTGATCTCTCAAATATCTATCGCCGTCATTAAAATGAGACAAGTATATACAATGTATATCATCGTCCCGCTTCCACCAACGCAACTGCATAATTTTAAGAGTTCATTGTGAGGTCCCTTTACAAAATTATGACACCTAAATTTTATTAAACACTGAAATTAACATAATTTCAATATCGTGAATAACTATCAATTCCAACAATTACATACCTAATAGGAGTGTAGACAACTTATGTTTTATAATTTTATTTTATAGATATACATGAAACATATCTAAATAAAATATTTTAAAAAGTATCATTCATATATTAACTTAGAATCTAAAAGAAAAAAATTTCCGCGAAAGCGCCACTTGTCATGGCGTCGCTGTGACGTCACAACACTGAAACGAATATCGTTCGATGTATGCACAAGGTTGAATTCTCTAAGTTCTGATATGAGTAAGAGCAGCATGACGTCACGCGCTATTTGCGGTCACGTGACAACGAATATAAAATATTTGTTTTTTTTTTTTCATAATTAATTTAAGCAATATTATAAATATGATAAGCATAAAAGTGTTGTTATCGGTAATAGTATATTAAACACTGCCTGAAACAAAATAATACGTATTTATTTTCGTTTACTGTCTACACCCGTATTTACAATTTCAATTACTTTCTTCTATTATAAATATAATTGAATTGATATAGTAAATTACTAGTTACAGTAATGTTTTTTTTATCCAACAATCATAATGTATACAATTTCTCCTTTTTTGGATAGGTATCACTTACTTATCGTACAACAGCAGTGTATTACTTTTATAAGTATATACATAGTTAAGTAGTTAAATCTATGAAAGATGACTGTGTGTTATAGCAACAGCTATAGCTAACCAAAACAACTGTCACTTAAGCCATTACAGCTACGAGTTTTTTCGAAACTAGAAGCGTACTGCACAATTTTTTGTATTCTTGTTTAAACAATTTAAAAATCTTCCAAAGCATGACGCGATTATATGACTTTAAAAGACAATGTTGAACACAAAAATGAACACAAAAATGAAACTAAATGTTAACAATAGCCCTCTTGATACAGTGACATCTACAACACAGAGCTAATAAGTTCTTTCGTTACGTTACAAGATGGCGTTACTAAGTTTAGTATCTGCACTGTAGCGTTTCACGCGATCCAATATACTAATATCATATCGGTTGGAGCGCAGTCTTCGAAGTAACGTCGCCAAACAAAAGAGATAAGTCTTCAGTACTTGTACATATCAATGTTTGTCATCTGTATTTTCATAACGATACAAGTGAAGATATCCAAACAATTGTAATTTCAAACCTTATAGACATTGAATTTAGAACTATTTTATCTATACTACACTAACCCCTGTATGCTAACGCAACTATTCGACTAGGAGAACTTAAAACATTAAAAAGACACATAATGTGGAACGTTACAGATATAATAGTTTTATTTAACGGTGAGATGGCATTTTCATTGCTAAAATATATCATGACATTAAATCACTTATTTAAATGGTGTGATAATGACATTGTCTCTAGGATTGTTCAGCTTTTATTAAGTAGAGTAACTTGGCCACAATTAGCTTAAAAATAAGACTCAAATGTAACTCAGTCGGCGGTAACAATAACCATCACATATTATATTTACTGAACTTACAGTAAAGCTTTATTTATATGTATAGTTTTCCATTAAATTCTTAGTTGCCGTCCATTAATCACGTGAGGCTCCAAATAGGGGGTAGGGACTTCGTCAAAAATCACGAAATATCACAAGGGGGAGAGGGGTGTAGTAATATATCACGTGTTTTTAATTTTTCCTTAAACGCACGAACACTAAACCGAAAGGCGACGTCAATAATTAAGATTTTCTGTAGGTACTAAAAATACACGTGATTTACGTAGTCTTAAACCACTATGTGTCACTGTGGAGTGACAGTTAAAAAATGTTCAAAAAACATGACATGATTAATGGACGGCCCCTTACTTGAGGATTTAATTTCTTCAACAATACAAATGTCCATATTATTTTTCGATTACTTAATAAACACTTAATTAGATCTAGTTAGTAAATTCATGTCACTTTTGGACATTCGAAATTAATAAAACTTACGTTTCACCAGTTTCTTTTAATAATAAATACAATATAAGGAAATATGTGAGACAACCGAAATCCATTCAATTAATGTTCAGAATTCCATCAAAAGTGACTATAAATAAAGCTCAAATTTCAATGCTTTACTCTGAACCGTAATGTAATGAGCGAAAAAATAATCGAGCGAAAGCTCTGCTCAAATCTTCTATTGTTTTACGTACCTAATATTCTAATCTTAGTAATAACTGATCTCAATAAATGAGGAAGCATTATTGAGACAACATTTCTGTCATGAAGCGACGACTTCAAAATATCGCAAAGAGGGTAGTGTTACGAACTGGCCAGCAGGCCGAGGAGTTATTTTTAGAAGTATATTTTTTTGTTGACATTTTATTCTCTTTTTTTCCTTTGCTCTTTGTTCTTTCTGTGATCACGTAAGTTAACCGCATATTTTATTTTGTATATATTTTAATTATTTTATTATTATATTGTTCCCTTACTTTGAGCCCTTTCTTTTCCTTCAACTCCTATCACTACCTCCTATCTGTTATATTTGGTCCATTCGCCCGGCATTTGAAAAATTTTTTCACAAAATTTTTAAATTTCGTACCAGCCTTACAATAACTATGTTAACGAGAGCTCAAAGTAAGGCAATAAATTCAACCGCGATCGATGCGCCACAACCGGTGTCCGATGCTTCCCAAGCACCCGGAAACCCCGTTGCGGCCGCCTCGGTGGCCGTCGCTGCTTCATCAGTTTCAGTGTCGTCTACATCTTCCGCGACCATACGTGCCCGTACACTCGCCGTGAAAGCAGCTTACGCTCGCAAATCTGCGGAAGCTCAGCGAGCGGCTGCACAAGCGGAAGCGGAAGTACTCGAGATAGAACTGCAGGCTGAACTTGCAAGAATAGAAGCGGACGGCAGCAAGGGCGGATCCAGCCGTCGAAGTAACGAGAGTCGCATGGAATCATGGTTAGATAGTTGTGCGGATTTAAAGCAGTCTTTGGAACCCCGTGGTGCTGCCTCTTGCGGTGCGCTTAACTCTGTGCATCGCGGCAGCCCCACCCTCGCGGTTCCCTCCGGCCTGCCTCCTATGCACTCTGTCGGAGCAACCATCGCCGACGCGCCTCACGCCGCGCGTCATGGTTATCCCGCTCCTACCACTATCGCTCCCCATGGCGGCATCCTATCGCCCCCAGGCGCTACTAATGCTAACTCTGATATACGTTTTCTTGCAGAGGCCATTCAAAATCTATCTAAAAATAATATAGTGAAGCATTTACCAAGCTTCGATGGTAAAATTTATGACTGGATTGCCTTCAAGAGAGCATACGATAGTTCTAAACAGTCGTATTCTCCCTTGGACAACTTATCTCGCTTAAACTCGGCTCTCTATGGCCCGGCTCGTGACGCTGTCGGTGCCCTCTTAGCCACGGCACATGATCCTAATGAAGTAGTGAAAGTTTTAGAATTGCATTTCGGTAGGCCCGAACTTATTGTTATTCACGAAGTAGCTGCGGTGCGGTCGCTGCCTAAGGTCAATGTGGAAGGTAAGGATTTGCATTTCTTCGCCAGCCGCGTTCGCAGTTGCATATCGGTAATGAAATTTTTAAATAACACTTCTTACTTAGAGTCGCCAGAGCTGTATAACTCATTAATATTAAAGTTAACCCCTGCAATGCGTGCGCGGTGGAAAGACTATGCAAAGTCTCGTTTCCACTTGGGTTTGGGTACAAAGCTAGAGCTTTTAAGTGATTTTTTGGATGAAGAGGTCACGGCGGAGTTGCAATT